ATACACTGAATAGAAAGAAATGTCAAGGATTTTTATGAATACCGTCTTGATTTAGTAGAAAAAAGAGTCCAGCCCTCTCCGCATGTATATTTATTTAAATTTTACGAGGTAAACAAACTATATCAAGAACTCAAGAGTTATCTCCCATGCTGGGTCAATGATGCGTTTGAAATCTATAATTAAATTGACCTTTCCAAGATTTAAATTTTTAATCTAAAAGTGCAAGGGCAAGGCGACAATCTAAAAAGTAGGTTTTTATATTAAATTATTTATTTTATTGTATAGTTTTCAAAAAGTGATCCTCATTTCTTTGTAATCCTTTAGTTAATTAATATTTCGCGATGAAATTAGGAAAATATCCTACTTTTAATGCATTACTGTTTGTTTTAGCTGAATAACTTGATTATATCGGAAAACTAACTGAATGAGCATCACTTTTGAGAAAGTATAGATACATAGAGACAAGATAAAACATTGTGCAGTTAATTTTTTTTGTTTACCTTGCCCTTGCACTTTTTGGTTAAATTTGACATCTCATTTTTTGACCTAAAATCAGAGTCCTCGTGACCTGAGGGGTCACATGATGTCCAAAATTCCGATGTGAAAAGCGATGGACATACTCTTCAAGATAACAAATAGCTAATTTTACTAGAGTGTCTTGCTCAAAAATAAAACTATTAAACATTATATGTATCGGATTTCGTGAGTTTTTATAGAAAATGTTGCCTTAACTGTACTGAGACTCTCCCCATCATTACACTCAAGTTTGACGTGACGAGGTGAGTTTCAATTATGACGTCATATAGTCGTTTTTAAAAGCATTTCACAGAAATTTCTATTTTCAGTAATCATGGCAATGCTCAATTATCAAAATCAAAAGCCCATGTAATAAATTAAGTCTATAGTAAAATCTATATATTGAAATCAGACCAAACTTATGAGAGGAGTAACGCTTTTGAAATTATTAGTAGAAATAGAGACAGACATATGAAGTTTTGTCTATAATCAATACACATAAAGAAGCATATACGGTGTTTTTATTTTTTATTATTTAAAAAATTCCGATGAGCATTGATCCCTGCCTTTACTCAGGTTTTTAGCCTGGCTTTGCTGAAAGCAAATTCCTGACTACAGGTATAATGACCGACTGTCTTACTATAAATAGCACAGTAAAGAAAAAAAACTAAAACAGCGTCAAAACAGACGCTTCCGATTAACAAAATAGCCCCACTGCGAGACGATATTCAAACAAATACTTTAAACATACTAATCGTTGGTAAAGTTAATTATCACTATTTTTTCTTGAGATTTTAACTGAAAAAGATTTTTAGATGTTTGCTTTATTGGGATAATCTTGATATAACAATTTGTGCAAATACGCTACCGAATACATATTGTAAGTGAACTACAAGTATTTTCAATAGCGCGGGCTTTTCGAACCGGGAAATATTGTTGAAGAGTTTCAAGTTTCATATCTTTTTCGTCGATGTTATGTTAGAGGTTATTTTCTGTTTTGATTTTTAGTAAATCAATAGTAAAGTGAATTGGAAATTTAAAAACTAACATGCTTAAAGTCGCTTGACAATGTACATGTATCAATGTTCCTACATGTATTTGGCGATAAAAGACCTGTTGGTTTGAAACTTAAAGAATGTCTATAAGGCACACATGAGCATTATTTTAATTATCCAGAGTCTGAAGTTTGAAACTATGAGGAAAAAATCCATATTGAATAGAAAATATGCGAGAATATCCTGGAAATATTATTTATTGAATTTTTAAAGGCAAAATATATCTTAGGGTCTGGGCTGTTAATTTTAATTACTGGTAATGGGATATTTTTTAAATCATAATTATACAAACTCTGTTAAAAATCAATGGCAACACGGAATAACATTAAATATGTACTCTTTTCGGATCAGACAATAAACTCGAGCAATTAAAACCCAGCTTTCAGTTTTTTCAATACTTTAATTGTTCACTGCATTCCCAGTCTTACCAGAATCTTCTTTTATTTAAACCTTTCTCATATAATGTGGTCTGAATTTGCTTACCATACAGTACTCATCAGATGTAGTGAAGTTTTTTCTAAACAGTATTTATTAATAAACTTTCTGTAACAAAAAGGTCGGTGTCATTGTGCATTTACGTTCTATTATGTTTGTGTTTAGTATTCAATTATGGTGGATAGACACGTATGTATATGTATTTGCTAATTAATTTTATAGAAAAAAGATGACTTTTACAATTTTTTTTTATTTGTGTTAGTTTTTATGGCATGTGAATAAAAACATTTGTTTTACCCTGATAGTGTTGCTTCGCAAATTCTGCAAATAGTGTATGGCATACGCTTTGATTGGACCTTAAGAATTGAGTTAATATTTTCTCAATATTTGTAGCTAAGAATATATATTAAATGACTTAATTGATATTAAAACAACACCACTTATACGAGCCTGGTCTCAGATAAGTGAGTTTATTTTAGTAACCCTATGTCCCTCCATTCCCGATATTTTAAGTCTTTTCATATATATAATATTATATTCACCCTTATTCACAACATTTCATTCCGGATAATTTAGGGCCATTCCTATATAGTCTAATATTTAATCGTTTCCTCATCTTCCTTTCTTAATGAATCGATAAAACGGTAAGGTCATGGAAAAGTTTAGGAAGTTGAATTGTTGCAATGTTTTAATTTTTCCCACCCACCCTACTCTTGTTTTAGAACAAATACTGTTGTTCTTGTAATGTCATTATGCTTGGTCATGCATCTGCAAAAGCCTATGTTGCAGTGAAAATCGTGCGCACCAATATTCCCTTAATAGTGTCCTGCTTGGTCTAGCTCTTTCATCAACTTGTGTTGCATTAGTGAATTCTGTATGATTGCGTATTCTGCGAAGAGAGCCTGTGTGGTACAGCGTCCAATCAACCGATGTTGCGGTGATGAGGTCTCTGTTTTACCTATACCATGAATATTGCCTGTTGGGGATAGCGTCCACTTCAGCTTTATTATGGTTGAAATTCTTAGTGTTTGCGTATTCCGTCGCACCTCAACACAGTTGGACGAGTGCAACACATACTTTTGCGCTTATTCCACTTCCACTGTTTATTGATTTAATCGATATTTTAATTGATTGTTTGACCAATCGATTAATAGTTAATTGGTTGAATTTGATTGATTTTTTTTATTGGTGACGTTCATGCACTTGTATGACCTACCCAGTGCATGATCCGCCCGATTTGGTTCGTCACATTTGTTCTATTGATTCTTGATTGGTGGGCAGCCCTGTAGTTACCCCATAAAATTGATCACTGCGACCAAACGCGCCATATCAAGCAAGCAAAATAACATCCATATTGTTTGTTTGATTTATAGGAAATCTGAAATAAATGCATAAGCTTGGAGAATGTTGGTAGATAGGGAAGTTTTATTGCAAGTGTCAGGTACAATTAAAATGCGAAATCCTGATCTCTTAACTGTACATGCAAAAGCCACAAACAATGTTTTTTTTTTACAGAATAGTCAAGCTCATGAATTTGATAATATCCGGAAAAATAATTTTTAGTGGTTATGAGTATGTTTTGTAAGGACCCCTGTCTTTTTAAGTGCTATAGATAAGACATATTACTGAAAAATCACAAATTTTCGTGGGGTTTAATTTTCGTTCTTTCGAGGTATGAAGAGACCCACAAATTCATGCCCACCACGAAATATAAATTGTCAAATATGTAACAACATGTACTGAACAATTCTTCATCCACGATATCACCAAGAGTTTTTACTAAAACCACGAAAATTTGCCCTCATTTGATTTTACAGTATTCACTTCTATCTAGGTAAAGGTCTTGAGGTCAAACTTCAGGAACAATTTCGTAGGTCTTCTTAGTTGCAACTCATATAAAATAAATATAAAAATCCTAACTTCTCTAAGAATTAGTTTCATTCATAATTATTTTTAAAACAAATTAAATTAATAATTACATTCTTAACGTATAGCTAAGTGAATAGTTGAAAGAATAGTGTGACAAGTCTATTTTCATATGATTTTTTTATAAACAAATAATGTTTTTCCCGTAAAAACTAAATTTCTTGTTGTCGACTATGCCCTGGGCATTACCTTCTTGTGTATATGTTCTTATTAATATTCCTTATCATGACCGTACTGTTTTATAAAAAAATATTTTGAACGTCATTTACATCATATACATGTAAAATACCGTGTAAAATTTCTTAAATTTGTAAAAGTACTCTATTTGGATCCTAGACTGTTTGTCGGCGCAATATTTTGGTATTGGCCGTATCTAAGTTCTTGCTTTAAGAACAAGTAAAACAAGCGAAAATTGGATATAGTTTGGTATATATTTTTAACTTAATTTTATTGTTAAAATGTATATATTATACTTTCAAAATATTAACAAATTTTAACTCTCTAAAATTTTCATAATTTATTGAAATAAAATCTATGAATATAACATTGAAATAAAATTATCCTTCATGATTCTATGCTTTTTTTCTTTTATGTAATTATATATTTTTAAATGAAAATTGGTTTGTATAACCTGTCCTGAATATCATTGCCTTTTTTGTTGAAAAAGAAGCTTTTTCACCATTTTTTTAAATTTAAATTTTAGTGATGAATTTTGATCCCCTTCTGTGATTCAATTCTACCCTAAAGAATCAGTGCTTCTCGAGAGGGTGAAATTGTAGAAAGTTTACGATAATAAAAACAACGAGAAAGACAGCAACGAACACATTTTGATTAGTAAGTTCAATGAAGCCACGGAATCAGTTTAGCTAAATTGATTTTGCTCCTCCTTTCCTACTTTCTTATGAAAGAAGTTTCAGGAAATGATCTGTTGCACAAATTTAACACATAAAATATTTTCCAATATTACTTGTTTATCAAGAATGATTAATCTTCTTGATACAATTTTTTTTTATTATTCTGTAAAAGTGTTCTATGTACACCTATGTTATAATGATTCCTTTTCCCTACCTTTTGTATCCGGCGTCTTTTTGGGTGCACACAATCTTCCTATATCTACAAAATATCAATTCTTTCTTCCGTACAATAAATTTAAAACAAATTATTAACCACAGTGATGTGTTTAAACATTTCTTTCTGCAACAATTAATTTATCAACCTTTTTGTCAGTTACCGGGGGTATTTTTAGCAATTCAAAATATAAACAAAACATATCTCAAAATATTCCAACACATTCCAACAAATAATTTACATGTTCTCAGATAAAACTACATCATCCTTATTAAATATGATTATTTAAACTTATCCAAAATAGATCATGTAATGATAAGTTTAATTTCTTTTATTTCTATATGTAACATTGAGCAAAATAAAATACAATTAAAGGGATGTCACTCGTCAGCTCTTCAGAAAAGTTCAATAAGAATCTTTAACTTCAAAACTATATATTACAATTCATTTTTCAGCATAGTCAAATTCCGCAATGCAATTTATTCAATGCTCATTGAAAAAAAAAAACTGCTCACAAATTTATAAAGAAGATTTATCAGGCATTATTTTTTTTTAAGTGGAAGGTTATTGAGAAGAAAATTCTTCAAATCTTCAACAATAATATGATCTGAGAACAGTAAAATTCATATTTATTAAATCTACAATAATTTGGTTAAACACACCTGGTATCTCTTTTACAGTAGTTCCAATAAAGTTCTGAACCTCAATTTGGAATTGTTGATTTTGTAATGGCATCTGTTTGAGACACAACACAGGCTTAGGGACATTGTTTGATGTTCCTTTGTACGCTGCACTATTGATATCTATAGGTGTAAAACTGTCGTTGTCATCGCTTTTTATGCTCCACTTGGCATGTATTGGTTCCGGAATAGATTTTAATAACGCTGCGAATAAATATTTTTCTCCAATTTTGTTGTTTTGCTTCTCTATTTCAATATTAGGGAACCCTATTTTGATAAAATAAATTATGAAAATGAATAACCAAATGCATTTCTTCGTCATTTTGCAAATGCAACAGTTATTACATTCACCTTGTTATCGAATACAATTTACCATTAAGTTAAAGGTTGACTCATATTTCCTTAAAAGAATTTAGGTCATTTATCCAAAACTCAATTGGCTATGAATTATTTCGTTTGCTTGATGACGACAATCATTGGCATGGCAGGTCAATGAGGCATGCAAAACATAATTTTTTTTAAGAAATTTTCTCCAGAAGATATTACAAAACTCGGATAATATGAATCATATCAAATTACTTGAAGCATCCTTGACTCTTCAAATGTTTTAATTATCTTGATAGCTATATGTATTTGTTTTCAGAATCATTCCATATTTAAACAAGAGGCCCAGGGGCCACAGCGCTCACCTGAGCACATCGGGCTTGAATTTACTCCCCCCCCCCCTTCCAGGAGTTCATCATTTGAACAAACTAAAATCTACACTACCTGAGGATGATTCCATATAAATACCCCGAGCATCACTAATCATAGCTTTGAAGTACTTGAAAAGAAGATTTTAAAAATGTTTCCCTATATATCCGTATGTAAAACTTGGGTCGGCCATTTTGGCCCCACCCTTGCCCCGGGGGTCATGATTTGAACAAACTTGAATCTACACTACCTAAGGATGATTCCACATGAGTTTCATCTTTCCTAGCCCAGTGGTTCTGGAGGAGAAGATTTTAAAAGATTTTTCCTATATATTCCTATGTAAAACTAGGGTCGGCCATTTTGGCCCCATCTTTGCCCCGGGGGTCATGATTTGAACAAACTTGAATCTACACTACCTGAGGATGATTCCACATGGGTTTCATCTTTCCTAGCCCAGTGGTTCTGGAGAAGAAGATTTTTAAAGATTTTTCCTATATATTCCTATGTAAAACTTGGGTCGGCCATTTTGGCCCTACCCTTGCCCCGGGGGTCATGATTTGTACAAACTTGAATCTACACTACCTGAGGATGCTTCCACATGAGTTTCATCTTTCCTAGCCCAGTGGTTCTGGAGAAGAAGATTTTTAAAGATTTTTCCTATATATTCCTATGTAAAACTTTGGTCGGCCATTTTGGCCCCAACCTTGCCCCGGGGGTCATGATTTGAACAAATTTGAATCTACACTACCTGAGGATGCTTCCACATGAGTTTCATCTTTCCTAGCCCAGTGGTTCTGGAGAAGAAGATTTTTAAAGATTTTTCCTATATATTCCTATGTAAAACCTGGGTCGGCCATTTTGGCCCCACCCTTGCCCCGGGGGTCATGATTTGAACAAACTTGAATCTACACTACCTAAGGATGATTCCAGATGAGTTTCATCTTTCCTAGCCCAGTGGTTCTGGAGAAGAAGATTTTTAAAGATTTTTCCTATATATTCCTATGTAAAACTTGGGTCGGCCATTTTGGCCCCACCCTTGCCCCGGGGGTTATGATTTGAACAAACTTGAATCTACTCTACCTGAGGATGCTTCCACATGAGTTTCATCTTTCCTGGCCCAGCGGTTCTGGAGAAGAAGATTTTTTAAAAATGCCATTAATTTTTAACAAATTCATGTTTATCTCCCCTTGGAAAAGGGCGTGGCCCTTCATTTGAAGAAAACTTGAATCCCCTTCGTCCAAGGATACTGTGTGCCAAGTTTGGTTGAAATTGGCCCAATGGTTCTTGAGAAGAAGATGAAAATGTGAAAAGTTTACGACGACAACGACAACAACGCCAACAACGACAACGACGACAGACAACGGACAAATTTTGATCAGAAAAGCTCACTTGAGCCTTCGGCTCAGGTGAGCTAAAAACCATTCATGACTTTAAACACAAAAATACCTGTTGCTAGCTATGTCGGAAATCGTACAATGCTATACGTATTCCATTCACATAGAGTGATCTGATAATTTTTCAAAGTTTAACTATAATCGGATTTACTGACGGAAGCAAGGGAGGTTTTACGGAAGTAATTGTATATTACTCGCATTACCATAGTAATATATGAGGACATCTGCTTTCAAGCAAACAAACCAAAAACAATGCAAATGTAACCTTTCTGCGATAATGTCATCTGTTTAACCAGTAGGCATGAATTGTATGGAAATCTTGATTAAATAGTCTCGGGTACAGTCACTTTTTATACATTCCTAGTTACCTTTTCCTAAGAAAAAAGTCGTCTCACTTAAACACATACGTTTAATTGGGATAAGATGAAATGTGATGAGATCTATGAATATGGTATTATATCAGCATCATACCGAGTAAAATCACATTTCCAAACGTTGATCCAACTTTATTGGAGACCTTGCACTGATATGATCCAGCATCAAATTTGTTGACATTGTGAATGACTAATGATGGATCATGAAGTGTTCCGCCGGTATACTTTCCTTCACTTCCGCTTATGTCTATTTCATCCCCATCTTTCTGCCATTCTATTTTAGTTAGTGGTGGAGACTGGTCATAAAGAAATACATCGCATTTCAGTAACACAGAACGGCTGTCTACCCTGGTTTCATGGCTGTTAGTTATGTTTGGAGGGTCTGAAAACAGAAGATAAAGACTCTGATTGGCTGTTGTGAAACGAAGATTCCAAATCAATGCTAAAATATTTGATTTGTAAGAAAGTGGCAAAATCAGATTAAGGAAATCAAACAGAGTTATACTAAAATTAAAAAAGGAAATATTTGTCAAAGATTGACAGAAAATGCGACGTCAGAATACAGAATAGGAGCAGCCTCCAATCATAACATAATGTTTTGATATGGTTGAAACAAAATATTTATTCAAACAACTCAAAATCATTCAAGTATATTTTAAATTTATTTTGGTATTGTTTTGAATTTTAAAAATTTAATCAATTAAGGTAGTCCGATCCTAAGGTTTATAAACTTAGCAATTAAGTAATCAAAACTACTCATAAAAGTATCTCTGAATCCACAAAATTAGGTAAAAAGCATTGGTATCTAAGACTGGATTCAAGAAAATCTTTTTTTTTCTAAAACTGTACTAATTTGTTTTACTTTTATAGGGGTCAAATGTCAACTTTTATAAGATCTTTTTCTAAGACTTCCCAAAACCTTGAATCTAATAAAGATGAATAAAATGAAAACTGTGGCATAAAAAAATTCATTTTTTATCTTTATTTTGATGCATTTCAAATTCAATATTAAGTTTTGGAGTTATCCATCCTGGCTGAGGATCGGATATCCTTAAAACTGTACTTTGGTAGCTAGTTTTAAAAAGAAGTAATAATAATTTTGTGCATCTAGGCTCGTAATGGATTTATCTCTCTCTCTCTCTCTCTCTCTCTCTCTCTCTCTGTGCATTGCGCCCATCGTGTTTCAATACGCGAAATGCTCTTTCTTAGCTTTTAAGTCATCATTTCCTAACTTATCAACAATTTATTTGTTTGTTAAATTCTATCATATCTCACAATTTTACAGCCAATATAATACATGTAATTCATGATTACTTTTCCCAAACTCTATATACATGTCGTTTTAAAGCCTATTTGGATCAATCTATGATTATTTTCTGAACACTTTTTTCTCGCGTCATTACACTTATTCAAAAGGCCTTTTAATTTTTTTTCGCCATAGATTGATCCTAATAGATTTTCATAAGTATATTATATATTTTATTTCATTTTTAATGTATCTCAAAAATTGAAAAAAAGTCCAAGTATATGAACAAATATGCTATCTTGAGTGCGCTATTAGAATCGGTAATCAATATACCCCCCCCCCCCTTTCCTGAAAAGCTGGAACTTATATACAATATATATATTTTTTAATTTCTTTAATGCTTATTAGGAGCAAAGAAATGCTTAACTTCAAGAATTTCAAATTTACTGCTTCTTAATACAATGTAAGTTAACTCTGCTGGCCGTATAAGTTTTGCTAAGATTTTCAAATCTTAGCACGCTTTTAGTTACGTTCTTAAGGGTTACACTGTGCTTACGCCCTACTTGAGCATGATCATAGACTTCAGTACGTTTTCGGTTTTATACTTCGATCCCCAGTTATATAAATGTTTCAATAAACTGATAAAAAAAACTAGTCATTGGGTTGCTATAATTTTCTTTACGTAACAAAACATACAAATTTAAGAAAATTGATGATTGTTACTTTTGCAGTATGTTTAGCAAACTTCCTCCCTGATAATGAATTCTACAATTTTTTTTTTAAAAATCATAATAGGTTTTTCAAAGGCATTCTTGGCAATCTCAAAATCACAGCCATTTTCCGCTCGAAGGCGCTACAAGCTATTTTTGGGGACTTAAAAACAAAATTGTCATCAAAGTTATTTAGTGGCTGATTGAAGTAATATTTCGACTTACGTCCTGTCACATCAAGAAGAACCGATTCACTGACACCCTCTCCAATGCTATTCCATATACGAAGTCGGTAATACAATTTATCATCGAACTTTGCTCTTGTCACCTTGAGTACAGGGTTATTTGGATCTACTGTACTACCAAAATACTTCTGTTCTTCAACGTTGATGGCTTTGAAGATAACAGCGTCATTGCTCTTCTCCCATATCGCCCTTACCGCTGGTGGACAAGATGATATAACTGATTTCATCTCGGTGTTATTCCCGTAACAAACTGGTTTCACTAAAAGTGTGACTTTTGGTACATCTATAAATACATTTATGCATATATTTATATTGCATTTGTCTTATAGAAAGCAATAATGAGGCTAACATTAACATTAGTGCAAGTCTGACGTATAATTATTTGAATGTTTGAACTAAGAGGATACTTAATATAACAAACCTAGGATCAGTGACTCGGAAACAGCACCAACTGCATTGGCTATTGTACAAGTATACTCTCCAATGTCCTGAATAGATGTAGAAGTTATAGTAAGAAAGTTCTGGCTTAGATCCCCACCTACATATTTTTTGTTATCTATACTCATAATTTCGCCATCTTTGGTCCACGTAATGCGATCTACTTTTGGACAGTCCTTTGAGACTTCATACTTGTAATGAAGAATAATATTGCTGTTTTCCGAGGTAACTTCAATTTTTTGAAGAACTGGTTGCTCTGTAATGGTTAATTCATTCAATATTTTGAAAAATATATTATTATTTATTTGTGATTATTCTTGAAAAAAAAAAACACACTATTATACACAAATGAAAATCTGCTTCGGCTGGCTGAACAGAATTAAAAAAAAATAAGGCTAAGTTTCTTTCTACTGTCACATAATCATTTGCATTTATAATAATTGTGAAATTTTTAATTTTTTTCTATTGTCAAAATAATATCTTTAAGATAATAACAAGAGGCCCACGGGCCTTATAGGTCACCTGAGTATCATGTAACAACTTTCAAACAATGGAGTTTGGTTTGAGTTTTAAAACCAGAGGACATGAAATTCACAATTTTGAAAGAGGCACCATTGCTTATCATAATGAATACACTTAGCATGCTCACTCTAGTTACTTTATACCCAGAGGTAGATAAGAGAAACAAAGAGAAAATGCATTTCCATTTTGTAACCAGTTGTGCACCCGACCCCACAGGAACCACATATTTAAAAATTTTATTTCATCATGAATGATTTATTAATATCAAAGAGCAGATTTCAAAACATTAATTTACATTCAGACTATGTAACCCCCCCCCCCTCAACACCCCTGACCCAGGGGGCATGAAATTAACTATTTTGCTAGATGCACCTTTCTTCATCATAAATATATATACTTAGATCATTGGCATAATACCCAGTAGCAAAGAAAAAATATTTTCAAAGAATTCATGCATTTTCAGTAGATAATCATTAAAGGCATTTAGAGCCCCGCTCTTACACCAAAACACCTGACCCAGGGGCCATGAAATTGACGATTTTGGAAGAGGCATCCTTCCTAACTATATACTTAGTTAGTTTGTCTAATACTAAGGAGCAAAGAAGAACATTTTTAAAGAATTAATGTTTTTTCATTATATAATTAACCCACCCACCCCTTTCACCAAAACCCCTGACCCAGGGACCATCCAATTCATACACATGGTTGAAGCACTCTTGTTGATAATAGCTACTGAGTAGATTAATTCATTAATACCCAGGATCAGAGGAGAATGATTTTTGAAGGAATTAATGCCTATTTACTATATGATCAAAGCCCCCTAACACCACAACCCCCAACTCAGGGGTAATAAAATTCACAATTTTGGAAGAATCACTCTTGCTCATCATAATTATATATTCTTAGTTATTTTGTTGAATACCCAGGAGTAAAGAAGACGATTTTTAACATTTGTTTAAAGAATTAATGCATTTTCCTTATATAATCAATAGAGCCCCACCTTAACACCAGAACCCCTGACCCAGGGGCCATGAAATTCACAATTGTCAAAGAGGCACACTTGGTCATCATAACTATGTACTTGGTTAATTAGTTTAATACCAAGGAGCAGAGGAGAAGATTTTCAAAGAAATAATGTAATCTATTTATACCCGCCCTAACACCAGAACCCCTAACCCAGGGGCCATGTAGAATAGTCATTCTACTGAAAAATGAGAACTAATTGCAATAGTATAAATTTTAATGCAGATTTGTAGATAAGCTATTAGTTACTCACATATAAAAGTTTAGAAAAATTCACTCAGGGGAAAGTTGGGAAATCGACTAAATTTAAATTTGAATTCAAAATGAATTTAGAATGACCCATTTGCACACCGTACTTTCTCTATATGAAATTTTTATGACAGACAAGCTGTAAACAATAGCCAATTAGTATCAAAAGTTGTTGTTTTAACCTGTAACTAGGATACCCAGGATACCTCCTAATCTTCGGTTACAAGGGCATAATAAGAATGTATAATAATTATTCTGTTAAGTCATACGTTAAGAATTCGAGGTCCCTTTGATTAAATTGTTTTTTCCTGTTAAATTTGAACAGTATTAAAATAATACCTCCAATGATTTTCAGGGTCAATATATTACTGGCTATATTTATTTGCTGTCCACTTGTATGTCCCCCTGATAGCATTGCCTGGTAGTCACCGTGGTCTTTCATTGATGCATTTGATATCACGAGCCGCATACTCGTGCTTTCTTGGTATTTCTCTGCATTGATATCTAGCCTCTCTGAAAGACCCCCTCTTACTCTGTGCCAAGTGATATGCCAGTTAGGTTTTGATGTTTGCCCTACGTCAGCTTCGATGCATGCTGTTTCCCCACACATGATTGTTGTTTGTCCTCTAATAGCAATTGTTGGTAACTCTAAAGAAATTAGTTTGTACATTTCATAAGATGGATTAAGATTCAATTTTCTAGAATGATTCTCCAAGATTGATACATTTCGAACATATTACAGAAAGATATTTGTGTGGAGCATTATGAAAGCATTTTGATGTGGCAAACCTTTTTCTAAAATATTTGTTATCTTAAGAAGATTCTTTGAAATTTAATTTTCCTAGAATATTATAGTGAAAAGGAAAGGGATTTTTGTCTACTCTATTTAATCTTAGTTAAATGTTTAAAAACATTGAAAACTTGAAAAATTTATCAATGATTTAATAACTATTTTTGAAACCAAGAAGGGATAGACTTACATGCAATAGGATATAAAGAACAAAAAATGTTCACGAATATATACTGATATGACTTTTATAACACATCTTTGATGACCTGTCATATATTCTCTATAAGACAAAACTTGTATAGCGACATACCTTACATGTACAAAGAGACTCACCTTCATTTGGAGCCTGATCAAGAAGCCTCAATGTTCCTTGAAGCAGTAACTTGTAATGTTCCATATGATAATAACCAGAATTACACATCTTGGTATCTGCAAGTTCTCTCTCGTAATTTGTTGGATTAGAGCCCGGATTGGACTTCACGAACCCATACAACCTTTTCATAATATTTTCTAACTCTTCCCAGCGCGATTCAAACATAACATCAGGAATACTAGAAGATTCCAGATGACCATAAATTTCGTTTCGGATTCGCCTGAGGCGTTCGATGTCATCGCCGATGAGATTATCACCACTTTCCGGTTCGTTTCCCCATCCCTTTGTTGTTACTACTTTTTTACACAGGTTCTGTATGAGTTTATATAACAAAGTTACATCGAATTTGGCATAATCAGGGATATCAGGAGGCGATACATAACATAAATCTTTCTGTTCCTCACTTAGTTTGTATTTTCCTTGTAATAGTGCATGGCAAAGGCAAATTTCACTGTATAGGTCACAAGGCTTAATGTAAATTTTAAGAACATCTTTCATTGGTAATTTTATTTTGTCTACCACGGCTATCGCCAGACGGACAAAGTTTTGTTGAGTACTTGTTAAGAATGTTGATGCCATTTTTAATTATGTCTCACGCTTTTCCTTATGACGTGTCATTTTTTCCATAAATCTCATGATTTCCTCCTTTTTTCTGTAAAAAATGTACAATATAGAGCTTTTTTTATTTTTAAAAATCAAAAATCCGAACTTTGAAACGAAAACCTTTTTTTTTTAAGTCATCATACGTATTTGTGTGGGCTCAGAAAAACGGCGATACTTCACGTTATTGTAATATACTATGTAATCTAGATCTATCCAGCAGTTTGAAATAGCAAATGGTTTTACTTTTTGGTAATTTGAAGACCTACTTATTTTTGAGTGACATCATAGTAAACATAAATAGACAACGCAACCTTACTGTAGCCTAAACTGCGCTGCGTAATGAACAACATGTATCAACTTTTCGCTATTTTAATGGAATTGAAGGGGCATAAGGAAAATGATGCATTTAATGATGTCATAGCGCATAGACTAGAGAGAACATTACATTGTCATCTATAGTGAGCAAGAAATTGAGCGGTTTCAACTGTTCGGAAATCCACATGGAGGAAAAAAGGCCCTTAGTGGCCTTGTTCTTTAATTACAGTATACTGTTTAATATAATGTGTATTAATTTGTTTTATGGTCTATTTCCATTACGTTTCTTTTAAAATGTTAACCTCATGTTTACCCCGGGGTGGAATTCCATTTAATGCCGGTAACTTTAGACCTGTGGTAAGCATTTAAACTAACTGAGCAGTGAGTGATCTGGTTTCTGTTGTGTCATAGGACCTTTGCTTATACAGCCTTAACTACACGTGTATGCAGGGTTGATTCCATATATCAATGATACATTTTATGACGTTTTGGTAAGTTAAATAAACCTTTAGTAATATACTAGGAGATAAAAAAAAATGAATTTAAAAACGCCGATTTTTGTGTGAAACGAAATGATTACATGATTTGAGACACAAGTGGTGTAATAAAAAATGATATTTTTCACAAAATTTTACTAAAGATTTCATACTAATAACAAACAATGAAGCAATATCTGCAATTAATAATTTTGTGTTTACATGAATATTAATGAAGGATGTATGTAAACAGTGTATAGACACGCATGTCTACGGGAAATCATTGACAACGAAGTTGTGACTACGATTATAAATGAAAGGTTAGCTTAAGAAAGAATAGTTATTTCTTTTGCAAGTATACAAGCTCATAGAAAGAATGTCATTACCACATAAAAATTCACTCATGCAAATACTATAACGACAAATGTGCCCTAGATGTGTGAACCTATACATGTATAATGCTTGCCTTCAATCTCAGTTTGGAGCTTTTAAACTGACTGCAAAACATAAAAAACGTAAAACATAAAACTTATTGTACAAAAAAATGAACGATGAAGAAGTAAAGAGAAGGATACTTTAAAACCCCACCCGTCAGAAAGGACAGAAAATTGATTCATCTTTAGAATTAAGGACAATGTTAGGTAGGTGGGGCTTCATTCATTCAGGAAATGTTAATCGTATGTCACATCAGGCAATTAAAAAATCTTCACAATACCAGACATTTAAATAGTATGCGATTTGAAACTTCATATTTAGCGTTGAAAACAATCTTTAGTAAATTATACCCATGATATCAAAATTGTTGCCTTTATATCATTTTGAGTCATAACTACAACAAAAAATTAGTGTCAAAATGTGTAACAATAATTTTCCGTAATGTTTATTGTTGAAATTACGTTCTTTGAATTACATATCTTAATAGAAAAGTCGAAAAATTGAAGGAAAAAAAAATTATATTCATGAAATTAGATCATAAAACAAAGATAATGAAAAGTGATCGATACAAACAATCTACATGATCTGTTATCCATAGAATTTGTGTAAAATGGTATAAAATACTGAACCCTGAAAATATCATAGAAAAACTCTTTTCTTAAACGCTTTTACACATAAAAAAAGAAATAATTCAAATATATATATATATATAGTGTTTAGCAATCATTGTTACATGTATGTTTGGGTGGGGACAATTAAATGTTTAAACATTCATATTGGATAACTATTATGCACGAGATAACATAAAATAGAATGAATATTTTTTTTTTCAAATACATGTAGTCTGTTCAAAAGTAGCATCACACAGTTGTCATAGTTCTCCAAATAGATTTTGGATAAGATTAGAAAGCGTTTGACCGTACAACAATAACATAGAGAGGAAATAATAAAGTTGTTATGACGTTACCATGGTTGCTTGTCCTATTTTCTTTGCAGCGTTACACTAGTGTACATCTTCTATTCATCACAATCCAAATATATTTTAATTGAATATCTCTTTTTTTCTCTAGCAAAATGTCAATCCACGTCAAACTTTGAATTTTCGTACTACCATGTCACAGTATTGGTATTTTGCCTTTGTCAATGAAGTTAATTTATTTAATATGCACCTGAGGTCCGACAAAGGTAAATCTCAGTTCAAAATGACTACAGTCCATCATTTATTGACGAATTGTACTATGAACAACTAAAGATTTATTTGCTTTTCAACAATTGAACATTTCCCAGTTTTCTTAACCAAAGGTATGAGGAAAGAATAAAATTTTATCATTAATCAAAACGAAAGTAGACTGTTATTTTACCACAGGGTTGGGGTTTTCGATAGGGTAATTATTCGCAATGTGGTTCAGGTGGCAGACTGAGAGGATAGTTTTTTTTTTTAAATCGAAACGTTTTTTGACTGACGGTTTACTTGATATTGAACTGCTTATTTAAAATGTGCATTGAAAAAAATTAAATTCCCTCGACATGTAATAATAGTATGATGTAGTCCCTTGAGTAATTTGAAGCTTTTAGGAATAAAACATGTACAACTTACACAATGAGCCATAAGGATAGCGCAGGGACAATCTCAAAATTTCATGTGAATGAAGCCTATTTTCACTATTTTGCCGCAGCTGCAACTGCTTCCAGGCCCTTGTTTGTAACCTAGGCTACCATACAAATTGCAGAATGACATTTTTACATACCACTGAACAGCAAGAGATATTGGCTCATCCACCTCGTTTTCAAGCTACAATTTATCCTATGAACCCATCCCGCTTTTCTGGTGAGATACCGGTAGAGCGAGTTTTGAGCTTATTTTCGTATTTCTAGTCCATATCCCATATACAGTAGTAGTGACACTAAAGTGTCATATTTCAATAAAATATACAAGGCCACAAATTCCCTCCAAATGCACCCATAAAATATTCTACCTATAAAATTGCCTATAATATGCATTCAAACCTTAGGTTTCTCTATTATTTTTTCTAGTTTTTGACCGGTACTTTATTCGAAACTATCCTTTGCCATCTCACATTTTTAAAATTTCTCTTAAACAAGTAACAGCTTTTTAAACAGCTTGCCTGAATACATCAATAATATCTGCATGAGGAGGGATAAATCTTTTGAGCAATACTTTTAAATTAGTTTTCGAGAACCTTGCGTATAATGAAATCTTGATTTCATTTAAACTTTAGAAGAATCATCTCTACACTGCATACAAAAGAGTGGTTTTTATGCAAGTAGATTGATCTACCCTTAGATCTAAATGGATTTCTAACTTCTTTGTAACACCTATTAAAAAATCAAAGTACTGAAAGCACTCATGGGAGTTGAACGTGGTGTTAAATAAAATCTTTCATCGGGAGGTTAAGTGAGTGAACAATATTATCATTTCAAATACAGACAACTGTTTCAGAATTTTTGAGTTTTGAAAATTTTTACGCTTTAGGTAATACATCTCTTATACGCAACTCCTCTTACACCGCTGAACGAAATTTTCATAGAATCTTTATTATATATTGCCGTTGTGCACCTTCTATTACTTTTCCATCCTACACATATTTTGGGTTTTCCTTTGCAAAACATGGACACTGCCATTATATTCATATTAGAGGCGGTTGATCATTTATATAATTCACTGCCCACAGTCTTCAAATTTGTAAGATATTTTTCCTTGGCACCTTTACCCATGTGTTATGAAAATTTCAGTTTTGCTGGAATAATATCAATGTTGATAAAATGTGGATTTTAACACAGCATCCTTTTAAAAGCTAACAGGTTTGTTATATAAAACTTCTCTGTGAATATAAATATATTTCAATTAAACGAACATTATACATGGAGTACGTCAGAAATTAATCTTTTTTAACATTGTGAAGAAAAACGCAGCACAGTTTAGGTTACAAATGGAAATAATGGCGATTTTTAAAGATAAAAAATAAATACTTTTTTAAGATGGGCGATTCTTTCTAGGAATTCACTGATATCAAAAAAATGTAATGTGGTTTAAATCTACATGTTTGGGACATTTAGATTTTTTATTTAGACTTGTCATGTAATGTCGACGTCACACGACTTTGGCAATTATACTTACAGTTTAGAGGTCATCTATAAATTTCGATATTGCAAGGGCATAACCAAGTTAAAAATCTTAGTTTATTTTATAATCCTTTTCAACACTATATGCAGTTTGTGAAAAGTGCTGCGAACCTATATAGATTCCCTTTTTTAACTGGTAAAATTTAAACTGTTGGACGGCAGGTTGAATATTTTGCTGGTCAACTACATTAAATATAGCTATAATTAATTTACATGTATTTGCAAAATTTGAAGAGGTTCGCAGCACTTCTCAAATATCTTAATGCCTCTTGAGTTTACGTGTAAAATTTAAACAAGATATATTGAGGGTATGCCCTTGCAATAAACGATTTATTAGGGCCCTTCTATTTCTTTTTCAATGAATCTGCATACAAACACACGACAAATCGCTTGTCTGGAGAATGCACGTACAGTTTATAAATAAAATACTAAAATAGACATCGCATCCAAATTAACGGCTTTTTATTTTACAGCAAATAAAATCTTATTTGAGAACAAAATACATTTTTCATTGAACAAAATGTGACTTGATCAGCCTCTTACTGTGTACAAACTGCGTCATTTTTGCGAGATGATGTCACATTGACAAGTGCATTGCGATCGATGCATCGTTTATAAACTGTTGTGTGGGATCTAACAAACGACAAAACTGCATGTAATAGTAAGTGTGTATGTAGTATACAGCTATCCAGCTGTTTGAAATAGCAAATAATTTCATTTTGTGGTATTTTGAAGACCTTACATACAGTAAGGAGGCGGGGCCTAATTTGTACGGGAAATGTTTACTATGACGTCACACATAACCTTAACTGTGCTGCGAAGCAATATCAAGTTAAAAACAAATATTTAATGACCAAACATAAAAACAGTTGTATATGTGAGAGTTTGTGTGCGTATGAGTTATCTGGTACTGTAAGTAGATGAGATTATCTTTTTTTAAAAAAAAATCTTCATTTTGTTGTTTTTACGAAATGATTTTTACGAAAACATCAGTGTCCGTTTTTTGGTGTTAACATTTATAACAGAGTACTAGATTAACCGCTTTTGGCAGGTGATATTGCTGATTTAGTAATAAATACACATGTTTCCTGAAGTTTTTATGCATTAATGAATTCATTTAAACCAAGAAAATGTTCATGAAAAGTTTGAATAAATTCTGTGCACCGGTAAAAAAAAAATTGCTAAAAATCCTGGACTTTCGGGCGTCGGGACGACTGCATTTACCGCTTGCCGTTAGTATGTAGAGTTGTCGATCGTATCTTTTTCAGTGTATGACGCCACACAAAAAATGAGTTCCATTACGAAAAACTTTTAATGTTCTTTATAATTTAGTTTTTCTTTGAACGAAATATAATATTCAAAATAAGATTACTTTATCATTATTACATTAACTTACATTTCAAAGTATGAAAATTAGATCAATTCAGGAGAAAATGACATGAACTATTTGTGGCGGATGTTTATGCATGTTTTATGTTGAATATCATCGGAGTAAATCAGCCGATACAGTATCCCCTTTCCGGCTTTATATAATCAACACAAATTACTGCGCATATTAAATACGTGATGACCATGGGAGATTGAACATAGTTCAACTCCCAATCATGTACAAAAAAGGAAATGCTTTGTTAACATTCTAAAATATGGATATTATTAAATAAATATTTTAGTGGAGTGTATGTTCTCCACTGAAGTAAAGAGCAGTTATGTGTGGTAATTATTTTTTTTCTTAATGGGGGGGGGGGGGGTTGCCCCACTATCATATATTGAGTTTAAAATATTCACTACTTAGACCTGTGTGGAAAGAAAAATCAAAGATTTGGTACTTGTTTCTTATCCATCATGTTTCCAATGAGCATCTGAACAGAGACATATAATTGTTTATGCATCTGGAGACCATGACTTTGTTTAAATGCGTTGTTTATTATTTTTGGACTAGTCAGAATAAACAACAACGGCAACGGGAAACAAATGGAAAAATCATTTCTGTTTTAGTGTTGACACTGATATAATATTATACGATATGCTGCTTCATAGAATGAGATAAAACATTCAGGTATAGACAGAATTTCTGAAACATTACAGAAGGAGGTTAAAACTCTAATTCCATGTAAGTTAGAACATCCATTCATACAATAGAACAATCCAATGAAAAGGCGCGAAGAAAGCATTGACATTTGGCGCGAAAAAAGCGATTCACCCATTTCGTAGACTATAAATGGACTGATCCAGTAGTATAGAAAAGCAGAAAAAAGGATACGCGGACAAGTTGAAACGTTAAATCACATGGAATAATCGTTCCCTGCAAAAAGATTAAAGAGAGTAAACACTACAGTATTTTGCATCAGTAATATCATTTTTCCCTGAAAACTGTTTCTTTTAAAATGCAGGTAAAGAATTCCAATGTTAATCAGCTGGTACAAAATCTAGCTCTGTAGGTATGATCTAGTGGTTTCGGAATTAGCAAATATCAATCCTTATATAGCCTGACGCCGTGACGTCAGGTGAATATTATGGCAAGTCGAACGTTGCAATATTCGATCTTTTCCATTTGCATTGTAAAATTTTCCATTTGTACTGTATCCGAGGAATTGTTTTTTTTGTTTCGAAGAATTTCATTGGTTTAATCTAATCATATAACGGATTTGGTAATACCCGAGATGTTCCGGGAAGTTTACACGTGTGATCCAGTCTAAGCATATATAGACAGGTGACCAGTAATGTAAAGGGCAGCGCTAATGTCTATATTCTTCAAAACTTATCTTGCGTCGAACAAACTGATGAGCGTGGGTAAAGGAATGTTAAATTACTTTTCAAAATAATATGTTGTCATTTTGAAATTTTTCACTGGCTTGATAATTTCTGCAGATTATTTCATAGGTTGTTTGACGTGTGTGCTTAGTTTATTTCAAATGTACATCATTCTTAATTTTTTTTCTACATTATCATTTGTTTTAATTCCTGTCTTTCCTTTATTGATTCA